TCATATGGTGTACCGATATCCAAACAAAGAAGGCGCGTCGTTGTGGCACGAGGAATATCTCATAACCACTCAGAATGAAGTAGATGCCATGCTAGAATTCTTGAGGTCCAACAATCTTTTCAAAGCCGAGATGTTCGTTTTCACCGAGGCGGTCGTAGGCGTTGAAGGTCATTCTGGAGACGGTCAAACATCTGGTATCCATGGTGGAGGTGAATTATATGGAGATCATCCCTACCAAAGTTACCATGATCCGCATTCCTATTTTTAGTACCAAGAGCAAGGTGAAGGTCATCATTAATCTTTCCCAACATATGAAGAAGAAGTTCGACCGGACCATGCCAACTAACTCGAGTACAACTTCCAATCAGGCAGCAGTAGTTTTCACAAATACCATTATAGAGCTGATGAAGGTGCTTTTCATGAGCTGGATCAGATGGAAGATGCCCTGCCAGCACCAGTTAGTGACCCCTCTGATGAAGAAGGAGAGAACAACGCCAATGCAGACAGCTCCGACCCTCTTGAAGGTGCTGATGATTCAGGACCAGAGTCAGACTCAGATAATGATGATGAGGTGGCTCGTGAACGTGTACCAGTCTCCTACTACTAGGGGTGGTAAACGGTAATCCGGTAAACGGTTTACCGTTTTACCGAACCGGTAACCGACGGTAAACGGTAAACCGTTTACCGGCGGTATCGGCAGCCGAGCGGGAAGTTGGGCGAGTCGGTTTACCGGACACTGTATCGGTAAATACCAACGGTAAATCGGTCTTACCGATACCGAATCCCCCTCCCTACTCCCTAGTGTTGCGCTGTTTTTTGTTGCTTTACCCCTCATTATTCACAAATATAAAATATTACATACATGAATGTAAGTAAGTATAGGCCTCAAAAATATTGTAAATAAGAGTTAATAATAAATTATTAATTACAAAAATGATGAAAAAACTCAAAAAAATCAAAATATTACAACATCACCCCACTTCCAGAAATTCGGTTCTGTAAATATTCGGTAAACCGACCGGAAAACCACCCGAAGTCGCTTCTCACGGTATTTCAGTAATACCGGTTTGTAACCGTTTACCGGTAATTCGGTAATAGGTAAACCGGTTACAAATCGGTATCGGTAATCGGTAACCAGTTTGGCCAGTTTCGGTATACCGAAACCGGTAAATTCGGTAAACAATTTACCGTTTACCGACCGAATCCCACCCCTACCTACTACAATCACATTCCAGACGAGAATTGGTGTGTCGATAGCTACATGGAGCCGCTAGAGGTCCCAGTATGGGGCCCACTCACTGGGTTTATGAAGGGCCAACAATTTGGCTCGAAGAAGGAGGTGTGGCACGCCATTGATACTCAAGCAATGACTCGGCATTTTGAATGACACAACTCATTCTAACATGAAAAGGCTCATAGTCAGATGTTGTAATCATCACGAGGGATGCAATGTTAGGATTCGGGCCATCAACAGCAAGAGACACGACCATTGTATCATATCCCGTGCCGTGAACACACACATATGTGTGTCATCCATAACAACCCAAGGCCATCGACAGTTGAAATCCATGGTGGTTGCTGCGGCTATCAAGCATCTAATTGAGCAAGATCCTGCCTGAAGGTGAAAGTCATAATCGCTGACATTGCAAGTCGTTATGGTTATATGATTAACTATAAGAAGGCGTGACATGGAAAGCAGAAAGCTCTGGCCACCGTCTTTGGTGATTGGGAAGAATCATATGCATTCCTTCCCAGGTTGATTTTGGCATTGGAGGCGTCTAACCCTGGCACTGTTTTCTCCCCTCGATACCAAGATGAAGAGATACAGCCGCCAGAGCCCGATAACAAACGCCATTTCAGATGACGTTTTTGGGCATCAAGCCATCTATTGATGGTTTTGGCTTCTGTGTCCCTGTGATCCAAGTGGATGGTACATTCCTTACCGGCAAGTACAAGGGCACTCTCCTGATTGCCAGTGGGGCGGATGCAAACAAGCAAGTCTTTCCTTTAGCCTTCGCCATTGTTGAGGGAGAGAATGATGATAGCTATGGATGGTTTTTTCGGCAAATTCAACTTCACGTCACTAGGAGAACGAACCTAACAATAATCTCTGATGGGCACGCCGCCATTAGAGCTGCCATCTTAGGTTTGGATCCAGCCTAGAAGTGGTCCCAAAGGTGGTGCATACGACACTTCAAGAGCAACTGGAACCATCATTTCAAGCGAAAGAAGCTTGCTGATAATTTGTGGTGGATTGGTAAGCTCTCTATTGGTTGTTTTATTTTATATTCCACTAAGTACATTAGCAAAATAAAAGAAAGACAAATGATAAAGAATTGTATGTATCTCACGATCGTTCCAAACATCCCTTGAACGATGGTTGGGTTGGTCGTACAAGTCGGTTGGATCAATAGGTCCTTGATCCAAATAATACCGTTGGTTGTATATATCCACGGCGTCCCCAACCTACGAGAGAATAAAACAAGGTTAGTACATATAATAATTAAAAAGCTTATAACAACAACAAAAATTGACCAGAATAATGAGTACGTACCGCTTGAAATTCATCATAATAAACTCCCTTTCCTTGGAACACTCGTCCATTTTTTCGCGAAAGTCGGACAGAAATTCGGTGGGTTTTGAGGAAAAAACTAAAGAAATATTTTATGATGGCAGATCGGACTTAGCCGCAACCAACAGACCACTATTTCCTAGGCTTTTGGGAGGGGAGGAGATAGAGAGATAGTTTTAGAGAGAGTGAAGAATGGGTTGTGGTGTGAAAAAATGTGGAGGGGGTATTTATACTATTAAGACCGCACCCTCCAGGGGCGGTCTTGTAATTTTGCACTGATTGAAACCAGGGGCGGAGCCAGGATTTCAGGTTCGGGGGCCCGGAATTTATGTTACTCTATTAACGTAAACAGACAAAAAAAAGCATAATTACATAGAATAATATCATATTAATTATGAAACTTCACAAATTTCATAGAGACTTAGTTACCCGGGGGATTGTACAAAACGTTTTTTGAAATAATTAGATTAAGTGGCGTCAATTGTTAAGGGGAAAAAAGTTAGAAGTGAACGTTTTTTGAAATAATTAGATTAAGTGGGCGTCAATTGTTAAGGGAAAAGAGTTAAAAGAATAAAAGTGGACATTAATGAGATCAATTAATGAAAGTAATTAGATTAAGTGGGAGTCAATTGTTAAGGGAAAAGGGGTTTTTTTTTGTCAAAAGATAATCTTATATTAAAGAAGCAAATAGATCATTACACTCTGGATCTCAGCCAGGTCTGAAAATCAAACCTACGACTCATAGTCGGGCACAAAGAGAGGGCCTTTCTAGCCACCAAATGGGCTACTTTATTACTACGCTGACCTATGAAGCGAATACTAAAACGGTAAAACCAGGATTACTAATAAAATACTGAAGCACTTCTTCTAGCACAACTCCACCCTTGTTATCTCTAGTGTCCGCCCGCCTGATTTTGTCAATGATAACCTGGGCATCGCCTTCAAATCTCACGCTATCTAAACCCTGGCTCACGCACCACCGGACTACCTCCCGCAGAGTAAGAACCTCAGCCAGCTACCATAGGATCCATATCCGGGAACTGAAACCCAATAGCCCCAAGGACAACCCGATCTGGGGCCATTAGCACCACCCCTCCCGCAGAATGGGAACCCCTTCGAGTAGCCCCATCCCACCCACAGATAACCCTAGTCGGGTCGCCCTGGGCAGACTGGCTCTCAATGGGGGCAGGGGCCAGGACAGGCCTATTCACCGGGATCCTGACCCATTCCTCATACTGCTGTCTAAACTGGCGCATTAAGGCAGACACAATAAAAGTGGACATTAATGGGATCAATTAATGAAAGTAGGCATAAATTATTTTGAAGAAAAAAATGAAAAAAAAGGAAAAGGGTTAAAAGAATAAAAGTGGACATTAATGGCATCAATTGTTTAGAGAAAAAAATGAAAAAAATTAACATTGATGGGATGGAACACGAGTCACCCAGTTAACAAGATAACCAATGCTCCGCTGGACAACTTGGATTTTGTGTATCATATTAGCACATGCTTTAATTAATTAAATACAGTCCAGTTAATTCGTAAACTTCAGAATTCCCGAGTATTCATACGTGATTTTTGAAATTTTGAGGGGTTGGCCCCCCCCTCCCCCCAAGGAACTGTGTAGCTCCACCCCTGATTGAAACCGCATCGGGAGGGTGCGGTTTCCGTTTCTCGAGGCGCAGAACGCAGGCGGAAGGTGTGGTCTTCGATCCTTGGCACGGATCGCTGACATGGCGTGCGGTCCGCCGTTGGATCGCCGCCTCATCCAATGGTCTTCAAGGCTGCTTCCGAGGAAACACAAACTGCACCTTCTGGGTGCGATTCCCTGGCTGACGTGGAATGGACCGCTTGAGGTGCGGTTTCAAAATAAGGGTGCTATTTTTGTTAATTTTTTGGGCTAGGTGCTATTTTTGTAAAAAAAAAAAAAATTAAAACGTGCTATTATTGGAAAATCCCCAAAATCTAAATCAATAAACCAATAATGACCATCACGTCTTTGAATTTCTATTCTCTGTGCGGCAATCTTATGTTCCGGGAAATAGCCTCTCATCATATTGCAAGTAGGGGTGTCAGTTCGGGTCGGGTTCGGTTACCCGAACCAAAACTCGAAAAAACCCAAAACGCGAAACCGAAAATCACTAAAACCGAACTCGAACCCGATAAGGCCTTGCGGGTTCAGATTACCCGAAACCCGAAAATTTCTTATCGTGTTCGGGTTCGGTTAAAGCAAAACCGAAACCCAAAAACCCGAACGCCTAAGAATACCGGTGAGTTCTATTCATTGGACGTTTTCAACCGGAACCCGAAAACTCGATAAGCAAAACCGAACCCGAAACCGAAAAACCCAAAACCAAAACAAACCCGAAACTGAAAAACCGAAAATGTATATAAACGAGTCGGTTTCGGGTAAACCCGAAAAACCAACCCGAATGGACACCCCTAATTGCAAGAGGGACATTGGGCAATCTAGCTGAGCCGAACTCATGAGAGAGGAAATCACCTCCATGAGAAATAGTCGTCTGCGACAAATGAGCAGAAAATGTTCATTTACTAACATCAAACTTGGTACACCAAAAAGACTAAAGTAGTCTAACGACACAAGCTAGTATTAGCTAACTAACCATTAGCTGTGAGAGATGGTAAATGTCGCCTTTTCTTTTCTCTTACACTCTGTTTCATGTTCAAGCACAAACAACGTCAAAATTTACCAACTTACAAAGAACCATCCACCCAGCCACAAAATTGAAAAACCAACTACGCTTTAACAAGTTCTACAGGGGAAACTTTCGGCTAAGGGGAAAATAAAAACAGTAGATCGATCCTACCAAAGGAGACACAGCCATCCATCTCATTCGTCCTTTTTCCAACTGGCAAGCAACTACTCGCGCCTGGTTGTCCTCCGGCGAGGAGCGCCCGTTGATGTGCTCTCATCCTTCTCCTCCTCTTTCTCTCCGCTGCTCCCTTCTTTACTGGAAACTTCAGTGGCTGCCGCAGGTGCTGGCTTTTTCTCAACCTTGACCTGCATAACACGAATCATTAGACTAGGCCAAGACAAAAAAGAGACTGGTACGCAACGTGATTGAAAACTTACTGGCTTCTTCCCACCAAAAATGATCTTAATGAAAACGGTGAGGAACACGACAACGATGGAAACAAGGACACCGATTGTTAGGTTTGGTTGCTTCTCTGCCTTCTCCACGAGTTCCTGCATGAAAGTTGTCGTCGCATTAAGGAAATCCACCCGCAGACAGGGAATGTGAAGAAAGATTTGTTGGAGTCAAGAACCAAAACAAGAAAAAGGCCGAAGAGAGTTTTGACTTACAATGATTTTGTCCTTGTGATCCTTCAAGAATGGAATATCCGCTATCTTGTAAAGGGTGTCGAATACCTTCTTCTGCGGGATTGAAAGAGAAATGCAATAATTAGTGACAAGACCAAAATATATAATAAAAATGAAAAGCAGACCAATCAAACGATAAACAAAATCGTCAATTACCTGGATGCCCGCAAGACCATCCGATCCAGTAGCTGCAGCCTCCTCGGCCTTCTGTTTCTCCTTCTCGGCATCAAACTTTGGCTTCCACGGTCCCTCCCGGTGCAATTCTGCCTCTTTCTCGTCTTTAGCTATCAAGATGTTGTCGAACAGAATACCATCCTGCATCGTCCAGATCTCAATACCGACGGCAGCAATGGGTTCGAAATCAGGCTTCTCAAGCTCAAAGTAGTCAGGGTTGGCAATCTCCCTAGGCTTCCAAATACCCTTGTAGCTAGGGTTGTCAATCATAGGAGCATGCCATTTCCCCTTATAGGCAGGGTTGCTCTTCATGGGCCTCTTCCATTCACCACAACCAGGTGCTGACTCACACTTTGGGTTGTCAATCTTTGGTGCTTCCCACTCACCATCCTCCTCATCATCCCAATCTTCTGGTTTGCTGGCCTCAGGGTCATCAATATCTTCAGGCTCATCATCCAACCATCCTTCGGGTTTTACAGCATCCACATCTTCAATCTCCATGGGTGCATCTTCATCCCAGTCATCAGGCTTCACGGCATTGGAGTCAGGAATTTTAGCTCTCTCGTCCCAATCCTCGGGTTTCTTGTCATCTGGGTCGGGGATTGTCTTGGCAGGAATCAGGGCAGGCTCAAAGTCTTCTGATGAAAGGAAATTCGCCTTCTTTTTCTCTTCACCATCGACGAGAATTCTCAGCTCATTGTCTGGTTTCAAAATGGCAGTGTAGACATGGGTGAGCTTATCAGAAGGAACGGAAGGCGGGAACTTGAGGTGGTGCTCCACATACTCCCCACTCTTTGGGTTCTTGTGCTTGAAAATGAAGTGAACCTTGTTTGTGCCTCCGCATTTGTCTGGTCCAAACATGATGGAATACGGGGACTCATTGTCAAACTCCTTAGCTACCCACCCGGCTTCCTGTGGCCGGAGATATTTCAGATACGCACCACCACATTCAAGCCCGTTCTGGAGGCGGGTCTCAAACTGCAGGATGGTGGTACCCTCTTTCAGATCCGCTTCATTCTCAAGCTCTCTCACGATTGCGTACTTTTTAGCCTTCTCGCTCACAAGAAGGCCATAATCCTCATGTCCCTCACTCTTGGAGTGCTTCCAGACACCTAAAACAAATTCAATTTCAGTTAAGAACAGAGGGACCAATCCCCGAAAACCATACACAATCAGAACCTAAGGTTACTCATTCAAATTCTTAACCTATTCCTCAACCCAGAACCAAAAACATTAAACAAGCCAGAAATTAGTCTACAACATCATCCCAACTATCTGCCCTAATAAAACGTTTCATATATGGCAATGATCCCCAGCAGACCTTATCAGTACCAAGGCGACGGTACATCCAGACAACTCCCAGAAAGATCTCTAGGTTTGAAACAAATGAATAGCCGTAACTTCAATAAAGTAAGTCCCAGAAAGATCTCTCGGTTTGAAACAAAACTCCCGTTCGAATTATCATTGGAAAACTAGCATGCATACATTCACCGATCCAGCTCTCATCTAGAGATCAATTCAGCGAAAATCTAACAAAATATCGTCTAAACCGTCCGGATTAGGGAGTTGACAAAAGAGATCCAGACAAACGCAGGCCGAATCCAATTACCTTTGTAGTCATCTTTTTCGGAGACAATCCATCGGCCTTCAAACGGCTCATCGAACGACTCGAACAAGATCTACAATGGCACAACGCGAGAACGAAGTATCAGCAAGCAACACATCTAATAACCGCAAATCAGGAAGCAGGTTTCAGATAACCGGATTGTGAACTAAGTTTCTTACCGTTTTGTCACCGGTCGCGCGCAACTGCGGGGCGAATGAAATTACGGCTAAGACGACGGAGAGTAGCGCCACTCCCACAGAGACCTGGGGCAGCTTAGCTCGGCTCATCTTTCCTTCCTTTCACGAATCCCTTCCAAGAGAAAACGCGGCGCAACGCAGACTCGCGGTGGTGATTGTTTCCCGATCTGAGTCTCTCTGCGATTGAATCGCTCCAGTAGAAAACCAGAGAGAGAGAGAGAAAGAGCTAAGCGAAGCGAAGCCCACTCACAGAGATGATCTCGATGAGTACGTCAGTACAGTTTGATATAAGAGGTGCACGGAACTTGGGAGCAAACTCAGGGTTCGTGTTGTCGCGGCCAATCAGAGTGTGAGACACGTGACAAGCACCAATCGGTAGTCGCCACGTAAGAAACTCCAGCAAGGGGCTTTCTAGCTTTTCGACTCTTCCAATCCGAGCGGGGGAGAAATAAGAAATTTACTAAACACGGGCTTGAGTAACTTGACCGAGTCTCGCTTGGCGATTTGTCGGTTTAGACGTGGGCCATTGCCCAAGCCCAATCTAAAAAATTGGTTGCGACGGTCCAGTAACCCATCGTTCCTTAAATAGGGATGACAATGGGGAAGGTTTGCCTAAACCATCACATTCCCATCTTCAAATACCCAAATTCATACTCGCCCCATACCTATGCAGGGAATGTTTTGCAAATTTATCCACATACCCGTGGGTTTCGAGTTCCCAAGGATAATATCCATACTCGTACATTCAACATTATTATATCTAAAACTTACAAGAAAAGTTTTAGTTATAACTCTAAACGAACATATTATATCATGAAGTCAACAAAACACAATCATTTTTTTAGGGCATTGCTATTCGTCGCCCTAAAATTTCTTATTGGTCGCCCTAACTAATTTATATTTACTTTAATGTCCTTAATTCATTAATTTATCTTTCAAACACTTATTAAACACCTAAAATTCCCTTAAAAAAACATTTTGACGCAGCCAACAAAAATAAAAAATAAAAAGAAACGAAAATCTCTTGTGCAGCGGTGGCGTCTTCTTCCTTTGTCGGCGGCGAGCGACGAGGGAAAATGAGGACCTTCCTCTCGATTCCAGCGGCGGCCGGCTTGCTTCTTTTTCCTCCTTCCCTCCGATGGTCGAGTAGCAGTAGCGGGAACAGATTCTATTTTATCTAAACAGCAGCAACAGCCCCGAACCCATTTTCAACGAGTAGCCCTAATCTCAAATTAGTAAAAATGAATATATGCTCTGTAGTCAAACATTTGATCTATACGTTGTTTCATCTAATGAAGTTGTCGTCTTTCAGCTGTACTAATTTGCAAGCTTTTCCTCTTTCCCCAAACTTGTCTTCTTGTTTGCCAGAACTACATAGTCCTCCAATGAAACAGCAGCAGCGGAGAAGGGGTTGGAGCTAGGTTTTCGGCGGCGGATGTTGGTTGGGTGGTGACAAAGGGACAATATCTTGTTTGGCGAGGTTTAGAATTGAAATTGGGTTAAGGGGTAAATATGTCAATTTGTTATGTTTTAGGGCGATAAAATTTGAATTTTAGGGCGACGAATAGCGATTCAGTTTTTTTAATATGATTCAAAGAATATGATCCTAGAATATCCATTAATACATAATATAGAGTATAGTATTTTTCAAATTATTATATTCTAACTCTGAGACATCTATTAAGTAATAATTAACTAACATAATCTTGTTGAAAATGGGGAAAGTGAAAGGGTGAAAGGAGAATTGAGAGAAATGAATTAGATTTTGATTAAGGTGGTCACTCAATTGCATTTCTACTATTTATTTTCTCAAGTTATCCTCATCATCGTTGATAAATTACAATTTGATGCACATATTTTTTTTATATCAAGAAATTCTCTTGGTGGGGCGGGTATGGATATGGGTATGGGGCGGGGAGGCTAAAACCATACCCGGTCAAAGCGGAGATTCCCCGCGTTGACTGGATCGAAGGCGATCGGGTACCCGTAGTCATGAGTTTGATTACCATCCCTATCCTTAGACCACCCACGTGAAGTGAAAGGGTAAAAATTCCTCCATTAGGTTCTCTTTCACAAATATCTTTCATTCAGAATCTTCAGCTAATTAGATTGTTGGTCACTCATATTACAAAAAACTTTTAAGTTTGGTTACTCGAAATATTTAAATCTATTGGTGGTACTTCACTTTACTGAAACCGTTCACGTTTGGTCACTCTCCGTCCAATTTCGTTAACTTTTGCATACGTGGCAATCAACACCAAAAATTGATCGTTCAATGTGTAAGTGTAACGTGACAATTTGAAAATAATAAATTTTTTAAAACTGCCATCTCATGTCCACCTCATTATCACTTTTATTTACGTTTGTCTCCCTGTAGCTACTGTATTCCCTTTGCTCTTTATCCACCTTTTCTACTAGTAAAAAAATTCCCAAAGGCAAAAGCCATCGCCTTTCTACCTTCCATCCCCTATCACTCGACCGCCGCAAACCCTAGACCGCCACCCAGCGGCGGATCCAGGATAGGGTAGAGCATTGGGCCAAATTTGAAAAGAGGTAGAGAGGACAGTATCGTAACCTATCGAACACTAGAACGAATACCTACAATCGAAAATCTACAAGGGCTATACTAGCTCTGGATTTGCGGAGGGGTGGGCCGTGGCTCGGGACAGCCCCCTAGATCCGCCGCTATCGCCACCACGAGCGGGAAACCTCCAATCACCCTAGCAATGACGTTGAAACAGATCTTAACTCTCGCCCGGCGGTCACATCACCGACCGCGAGCTTCCCCATCCGCTTTATCCGCCGTCCGATCCTCTTCCTCCTCCATGCTCGCCGAGTCCCGTGACTCCTCCCTCCCCGCCCCGCCACCACTGAACACCATGATATACGATCGCCTCGTCGAGTCAGTGAAGTTGAAGATCAAGTAGCTGGAGAATCCGGATCCCAGGTTCCTCAAGTACGGGTCGCCTCACCCGGTTTTGCGGACCCACACTCACATCCTCTCTGCTCCGGAAACTCGGGTCACCACCCTCTCCAATTGCATTCGTGTCGCCACCGAGTCATCTCTCTCCGCCAAGACCATGACGATCGGGGTGTCGATTGATGTCGGGTCCAGATTCAAGACCGCGTATTTTTTGGAGCATATGATATTCAAGGTGACTGAGAAGAGGTCCGCTAGGGAGCCGGAAGAGGAGCTTCTCCATCAAGCCGCCCCCTGTGTCGACCTGGAACTGCTTCGCTGACGAACGCTAGGCTGCCGCCTGTCTGTGGAACAATCGTCGGAATACGGCATTATCTCTGGGATCGGGAGCAATGTTGGGCTTGCCCTGAGGGATCCGGCTACAGGCATTGGCGTAGGACGAGTTCCGGAAGTTGGTCAGGGACTGGGTCGTCGAGATTCTGGAGATTTTGAATAGGCGCTCAGCTAGGTTTTCTTGAACGCCTTTATTTTGAACTAGGAAAAGAAAATTGGATTTCAGAATCGCTGAAAGCTGCAATGGCTATGGCTTTTTTCTTCCGCGACCGAGTCCGATTGGACGGGCTAGTCCCTCCACCGCCGGTGGCAGAAGAGGATTCGCCTTTGGCGCGACGTTTACAACGATGGAAACGGCAGCGACGACGGGAGGTATTGGTATTGGTATTGGAGAGTAGAAGAAATTAAGGTTTTTCATTTATTTTAAATAAAAGTAATAATGAGGTGGAAATGAGATGGCAATTTTAAAAGATTTAATTTTATTAATTTTAAATTGCCACGTCACACAGTTAACGGTCAACTTTTAGAGTTGACCGCACGTAAGCAAAAGTTAATGGAGTTGAATGGAGAGTGACCAACGTGAGCGGTTTCAGTAAACTGAAGTACCACCAATGGATTTAAACATTTCGAGTGACCAAACTTGAACGTTTTTTGTAATCTCAGTGACCACCCATGCAATTAACCCGAATCTTCAGCTTTCTAAGTGTTTATATGAATGATAATTTAGTAAATTTAAGAGTTAATACCTTAGTTTGGCCCGAACTATACATAAACTTTCTATTTTGACCTGTAGTATCCGAAATTGCTCTTCTGGCCCGAACTATGTATCATACTTTCTAACTCGGCCAGGAGCAGGGTTTGACCGTCAAATTGGACGGTTAACTTCATTAACCCTTAATTAATGGCCAACTCACTTGCCACGTCAATGAACACGGAATAAAAAAAATATATTTTTTGAATTTTTGTATTCATTTTCCTTTCTAATAATAAATCAAACCCCCAATTTTTTAAGATCCGGGAATCTAAATCAATTGCAATACCTTCGCCTCTAGATTCTACAAGTTGATTTCATTAAACATTCGGATGATGTAGAATAAACTCCGTCGCTGATCCCGTCGCCGTGAAGCTCGCTTTCTGCTGCTGCTGACTATTACTCTCGTCTTAAGTACCCATAAAAACGTTGTTGTTGCTGCCGCTACTGTTTCCTATCTCCTGGTCTCGATTGCGGACGTCATCAATAGCGGCAGCAGTGGAGCCAGGCTGGGCAACCCTATCTTCCCAATCCTTGCTGCCCATCGTCCCTATCTGATGATCGTTATCAACATTGATCAATCCCCTGCCCGATTGGGGCTTGAGCGAGTGGTGGAGGTCATGGGAGCCAAGCAGCGATTAAGCGGCAACATCTTATTCATCATCATGTTTTGTGCAGATGATGGTGTCGTCGCCGACGAACCCAACTGGAAATTCTCGATGACGGAGGAATTGTTTGGAAGATCACCGTTTGTAAGGAAGTGGTTAAGTACCATACATGGGCCTGTATAAGATCCAATATAACCTTCTCCCAACAACTCGAGTTATTGGGACCAATGGGTTTATGACATGGTATCAGAACTGGTTTGTCCTTGAGGTCACGTGTTCAAGTCCTCACGACCCCCGATATTAACCGTTGTCTTTCAAGCACATGGTAAGGCGGGCCTGTGCAAACTTCAAGCCCATAAGTCGGCTTTCGTTTGAGGGGGCGTGTAAGGAAGTGGTTAAGTACCATACATGGGTCTGTATAAGATCCAACATAACATTCTCCCAACAACTCGAGTTATTGGGACCAACTGGTTTATGACACTGTTAGTATTGTTAGTATTGGATGAATGGGAGGGTAATGGTGATGGGTTATGAAGCTTGTGGGAGGAGGGGCGGAGAGGGTAGATGGAGTCGAACCCCCTGAGAGGAGAGGAGGAGCCGAAGAGGTTTGCGATTGATTTAGGGGGTCGTTTGATTTTTGTGATAGTTAAATTGATGTATTGTCGTCAATATATGCATAATAATATACATGTATCCTCCAATAATATATAGCACACTTTCATCTATTTTTTAGCATTTCAAATTTATTGACTTCTCCTTATATTTAGTTAGGGATAAAAAGGTAATTAAATACTTTCACAAAAATCGCACTACAGCTATTTTCTCGAGCCTCTTCATTTTTTGTCTCTGAAACCCATTATTCTTTCTTGCGGTATGACTAGGTGGGCTTTTCAGATTTTTTTCATAGATAAGATTTTCTTTCTTTATAATAGATGCAATTTTCATTTACTTTCTACTCACGCTCTTTAAGAAAAAAGGTATTTGTGCCAATATTATTTTTTATATGAAAATTTATTTAAATCATTGTATAGTGGTTTTATTTCATCACAGGAAGTTTCTCATTTAGTATTATTTTTGGATGTGACACAATTTGATCAATACTAGAATTGGATCCAGCAGCGATATATATATGGGAGTTAATATTTTACGCCCTAAATTTTTAAATTCGTCGCCCTAAACCTACCCAAATAGACGATTATACCCTCTACTTAAACTAAACCCTAATAACCACCCGACCAATTCAATTCCCCGCCCTTCCCCTGTCTTTGCCCCCTTCCCATAAACACAACCCGCCGTCGCCCGCAAATCCAAAAACTATCGGCGACCCTTGCAGCGACGCCGACAAGAATTACATCGACAGTGAGGTGAGCGACGTGGGTCGGGTCTTCTTCGTTCTTCCTGCCCCACCAGACCGTCGCCGGTCGTGTTGCCCTCGAACAAAAAAAAAAAAAGACTTGTTGTGTCGCCTCCACCAGAAGCTGATTCCGTTGCCGGCATACCCATAAAACCACATAATTATTTATGAAGTTAAACGGTCCCCAACCACTCAGCAAAAGTACTGGCCCCTCATCTAATCCCTTAGGCGAGCGGTCGTCGGATGTGGCGACCCGCGCGGAATCCCTTGGGCGAGCGGCCACCAGCTAGCAGAAGGCCTGCGGCAGCGGCAGGCGTAGACTCCCTAGGATGAACGGCGGCGACGAACGAAGACTCTTAGGGCGAATGGCAGTTAGGGATTGGGAATAAGTTGGGGCAAAAACGTCACATTGGTTGATTTTAGGGCGTTAAATTTAAAAAGTTAGGGCGTTAAATAGGAATTCAGTATATATAGACCCAACAACAAAGGATAATCACAAGCATTTACATACAATTTATTTAATCAAAGTTGATATGATCCAAATTTTATTTTCATTTTCCAGTCAATTTGTTCGAGAAACGAAAAGAGCTAGCTTTTAGAGATTTTGCCAGTACAACAGCTCTCAAGGAGACATTTATCTAGAGAAGATGCTTGAAAGTCTAAAGATTCTCATTCAAGACTCTTAACCAGTGATGTTAGATATTTATTCCGTTGATATTTATTTTTGCAAATCAAAGTTAATACTTAATACCGATGTAATCTATAGCTTAGTTGGGTTCTACATATTTGGTTTCTTCAAAAAAATTGTTTATCGATCCTAGCATGTTGTGTGTGAGATATCGAAGATTTTTGTTTTGCACAAGTCTATTTCCGATGATCACATATATTATGTAATTCAAAAGCAAGTTTCACTTATTATATTCTATTATTTAATTTACGTATACTGAACATGCAATTAGTAAACTTTATTATTAACTTCACTTTGTTTTTATAAGTTAAGATTGGGGAAGATATTCACAAGTCTATTAGTTGTCATTCACTTTTATAGTCTACACCGAAGTGTCAAAGAATTTTAATTACCCATTCTCAAAAAAAAAAAAAAAATTTTAATTACCCAATAATGCTTCATGCATACCTGAAAGTAATAAATATAAGTGACGAACCAAAAGTTACACCGAGAAAGGATTGAGTAGTTCTACCAAAAAAAAAAAAAAGAGAAAGGATTGAGTAGGAATGATCATATCAAAGATACATAGGGTGCCTATCTTTTGGTCCACATTGTATCGAACCAAGCAAATGCGGCATTTTGTGAATATTAAAAACGTGGGCCGGATTGCGGTTTAGATCTTTCCAAACTGAATTGAAATTATCAGATTTTGATCCTGAAATTTTCAATAAAATTAAAAACCGTGATTATTATGATTTGGTCCAATTTCAAGTGGATCATATTGTTACACAACCGAAAAATATCCAATATTAATTATACTATCCGGCCAATTGGCCGGGTCATAAGCTAGTATAAGAAAATTGGTGTATTATAGTTTATATTGTTTGGTTTCTGTGATAGTTATTCAAATATTAAAATAAGTTATATTACTTTTTGGATGAAATGTCACTTTTTCCCTTTGTTTTTAATATTAAAAAAGCAACACACATAAAAAGGTAGAGACATAGTTGGAACAAAATAAAACCCAACAATCGATACCAAACAATCTCAACAATCTCAACCAAAATTTGAGATTTAACTATCACTCATCTTGAGTGATAGTTTGTGTCAAATCAAGCAAACAATATATGTATTTTTTGTGCAGAAAATTCAAAAAAATGATGCATTGTGGACAATGCATGTATTATAACTATCCCAACCTAACTACCACCAAAACCAAACGACCCCTAGATTCCTGAATCTTGAAAAATTGGGGGTTTGAATTTATTTTTGTTTTATTATTAGAAAGGAAAATGAATACATAAATTTTAAAAATAAAAAATATATTTATTGTTCACTTACGTGACAATTGACTAACGGTCAATGGAGTTGACCGTCCAATTTGACGGTCAAATCCGGCTCCAAGCCAAGTTAGAAAGTATGGTACATAGTTCGGGCCAAAAGAGCAATTTTGGAAACCACGGGCCAAAATAGAAAATTTGTGTATAATTCGGGCCAAACTAAGGTATTAACTATTAACCCTAAATTTAATTATTCAAATAATTAAAACAATACATGTATTTTTGTGTAGAAAATTCGAAAAAAATGATGCATTGTGGACAATGCATGTATTATAACTATCCCAACCTAACTATCACCAAAACCAAACGACCCCTAGATTCCCGAATCTTGAAAAATTGGGGGTTTGAATTTATTTTTTGTTTTATTATTATTATTAGAAAGGAAAATGAATACATAAATTTAAAAAATAAAAAATATATTTATTGTTCACTTACGTGACAATTGAATTGACAATTGACTAACGGTCAATGGAGTTGACCGTCCAATTTGACGGTCAAATCCGGCTCCAAGCCAAGTTAGAAAGTATGGTACATAGTTCGGGCCAAAAGAGCAATTTTGAAAACCGCGGGCCAAAATAGAAAATTTCTGTATAATTCGGGCCAAACTAAGGTATTAACTATTAACCCTAAATTTAATTATTCAAATTAAAAAAATTGATAAAAATAATTAACAAAATACGCACCATTCCCTAAATCCTAATAATCAGCTAACTTGCAAGATATTAATGAGCTAACAAACTAGAAGAAAATTATTAATTAACAAATTCTGTTGAGAGTAGGTTTATGTGTCTAAACAAGCACTTTTAGTCAATTCGGGTTGCAGGTCAGGTTGGTCGGGTCGTGTTCTATTTTGACACCTATAATGGTTTGGCAGTTAAACCACTAACCGCATCAAAACTGCGTAACTAGAGGTTAACCGTAAACAAATTTTTTTTTTTGCGGTCGCGGTTAGCAATATTGCATGTTTTACGGTTTGTGGGTTAACCGCAACTGAACAATAGGTAATCATAATTAACCGATTACTAACGCAGTTACCTGCGGTTAGCCGTGTCATAGTAGCACAACCACATATCAAAATGTCCACAAACCATAAGAACGGTTAGTAACATGGTTAACCGCTGGTAACCGCTTACAGTGCTGTTGCAATTGGTATATATGACTCTATTTCGGTTGCAATTAACCGCAAATTTTGATGCGATTAACTAGGGGTGTACATGGGTCGGGTGGTCCGAGTTTAGGCATTTTAATCACCCGACCCATGCACTATGGTTTGGGAAATATTAAACCCAAACCCACCCAAAAAAATCTAAACCCTACGGTTTGTTTATAATTGGGTTGGGTCGGGTTGGCGATATTTTTAAGTAAAAACCCAACCCAACACAAAATATGTAATTATTCTAAATCATAAAAATATTTTATAACAAATTAAAAATTCAAACGAATAAACCGAGGTGAAAGGTATCAAAATTCACAAATATTGTTTGAATTTTAATAAAACTTGATTTACTTCAACTTATGTCTAGTTTTTTTCACGACATTTGTTGAAATAGGCTAAAAAGATTACAAATGAACGCATCCATAATATGATATTCTTTTAAAATTGTACACAAGAAAAAAAATACGTGAATCATAGCTATATTAAATATATGGCTAAACTTTAAGTCGAATAATGCATTAGATTAGTGAGACTTTAAGAGAAAAACATGGCGAAATATCTTAATTTTCTCATAAGTATGACTATATACAACATAAATATTTTTTTGGATACGAACTCATACCAATAGTTGGAACACGGGTTGGGTCGGGTTCTACGGGTTGTGTAATCCAAAATCCAAACCCAACCCAAAAGAGGCGGGTTGTACAAAAGAAAACCCTCACCCAACCCAAAACCTTCGATTTAGCGATAAATACGGGTGTGTTGGGTTCACTGGCGGATCCAAGGGGTGGCCACCCCGAGCCCCGGCCCAGCCCTCCTCTGGATCCGGAGTTAGTATAGTTTTTATGAATTTTTCGATTTTAGTTATTCGGCCCAGTGTTCTTTTATAACAAAATTGGGTGTAACTAGAAAAATGATTCAAATTAACATATTCAAATCACTACTATAAATTTAGCCTAGAAATTCTACCTCCAAAGATTATTGTTCTAAAAAAACAATGAAATCTAAAATTCTAAAAGTCTAAACGTAAAAGACTATAAGAAATATGAGTTTTATTCCTTGAAAATTTACTAAAGCAGCTAGTGGATATAGGTATGGACACACAATGCACGATTGATTTGTCTAGCGTTGACGCTGATCGTATCACCAATTACTACGGGGAGAACCTTTTCAACAATGAAACATATGAAAACTTATTTGTGCAACAAAACGAGCGATGAATTTCTCGCCGATTGCTCAAGTATTTTATTTAAAACAATGTATACTATTGGTATGGATGTAGACTCCATTATTGATGTATTCGCTAAATTAAAATACCTTCGTGTACAATTTATATTGTAAAAAAAATTATCATGTTTTTTTACTGTTCTAATTTTCTAATGAAATGCGGCCTAGTGCTCTTCCGTGTTCTGGATCCGCCGCTGATTGGGTTGGGTTGGACGGGTGGGTCGGTTTGCGGGTGTGTTTGTTCACCCCTACGATTAACCACATCCACACCGATTCGCAGCCCTACTCGGTTAAGTCTCATCAACCAGACAACGACCATAATTGACTCAACATTGATCTGACCGTCCGATTTTCCCAGTACCAGTACCGGGACGGTTCTCGGTTGTGTAAGTCCTACTCCTACTCGGCCTTTAAAATATCATATTATTAATTAGTTATTAACCAAGGGGCGAGATCTCGTCTCCCATCATCGATCGTCCTTCCTTTGGAAATTTCTCAGCCAAGCCCAAGATATCGTGAAAAGACTACCAGATTCTTTCTGAAGAGTAAGTAGCTCTGTACACGATTGTCTCCGTAGAGCTTTTCAAGCCTTTCGCGCGCAGTGGCGGTAGAGGTATGTTTGTCTAGTTTCTTTGATGGACTGCAAATCGGGGGGTTTTAAAGATATATTTGTTTGTGGTTTAAATCTGTCGCTCTGCGTATTTTGCCCGGGATCTAAAGGGCCTGGGGCTGCCAAATGCCATTGTTCTTAATCGGTTTCCCAGCGATTATCGGTGCCCTTGCGGGGGTTTGCTAAATGGGCGAGTAGGTTGGTTAAATCTCAAAATGCAACTAGACTAGAATGTGGTTCTTGATTCTGCACTAAAAAAGGGAATGTGCGATTTTCGCTCTATCTGCTGTCACAATCATGTTAGTGGGAAGTAGCTTTCGAAGAATCTGGTTTGACTCTTATTGTTGAACGATTTTCAAACATTTGCGCAATTCCCATTTACTTTGGCCTGTTTTGATAGCACTGAGATTGCTACGGTACTTATGAACTTTGGGCATTTGGGATCTCTCTGCTCTGCTTTGCTCTGTTCATTATGTAATTTACACTTTGTTTAGAAAGTGATGGCAAGATTCTGTTTACTTTAGTGTTGCTAATTAAAAAAGCTGGCTGCTTTTACATGTTGCCATTCTCAGGACTTGATTTTGATATTATCAACTTTGCGAATGCAGATAATGAAAGGATAGCTTTTTTTTTTTATGGTAGCCTGGCTGATTGGATCCTTCTTTGCCCTTTCCATATATTATGTTATTCTATTATGTCAAGTAGCTGGGGGGCATGATTTTTTAATGTCGCCGTGGTTAATTGCAGGCTTCTTATTTTGATATTTACCATCTTCTCGAGGCAGATAAAAGATCAGTTGAAGATTCCCCACTTGTTTCCTCTCCTTCAGACGCACCATGCTTAAGGTTCCAGAGCATCAGGTTGCTGGCCATCAAGCCCTCGACGGGCACCTGGGTCCCCTCATAGATGATTCAGGGCGCTTCTACAAACCTCTGCAGAGTGATGAACGTGGCTCCAAGGAAATGTCATTCTACACGTCATTTTCTTCCAACACAAGGATTCCAGAACACATCAGGAGGTTCTTCCCGGTCTTCCATGGCACTCAACTTGTAGAGGCATCTGATGGATCTGGCAGGAAACCCCACCTTGTCTTAGAAGATATCACTTCAGGTCATTCCAAACCCTGCGTCATGGACATTAAGATCGGTTCAAGAACATGGTACCCACAGGCTTCTGAGGACTACATTCAAAGGTGCTTTAAGAAAGATAGGGAAACCAGCAGTTTGTCTCTGGGGTTTAGGGTATCCGGGTTGCAGGTATATGGTAACAAAGAATCTGAAGTTTGGAAGCCTGAGAGGAAGGTTGTTAAGAGGGTAATTGGTGATAAAGTTAGGTTGGTTCTTAAACAGTTTGTTTCTTCCAATCCATCTATGGACCTGGATTCCAACCCAGATTGTTGTTATGCTTCAAGTGTTTATGGCGGTTCTACTGGTATATTGGCCCAGTTGCTGGAGCTGAAGGCATGGTTTGAGGATCAGACCACCTATCATTTCAATTCTTGCTCGGTTCTCATGCTGTACGAGAAGAAGTTACTTGGGCCAAAGGAAGGAGGGAGTACAGCTGCTGAAGTCAAGCTCGTCGACTTTGCTCATGTCACTGAAGGCAACGGTGTTATTGATCACAACTTCTTAGGAGGGCTGTGCTCGTTGATAAAGTTTATCTCTGAGATCCTTACCAACCCAGATGAACACTCTCCCAGAACTTGCTTGCAGGACTCGGATAAGAATGATTTTCCCTCCGAAAATGGTGCTGCAGAATCAAATTAGCACTTTTAGTGGGTATGGTTTACGGCCTAAGCGTATCATGTTTTTAGCTTGGCTTTGGTTTCTTACTTGTGACCTTGATGTGTTGATGAACTTCCATTAAAGCAAGAGGAGTGTAGATGATTGGTCAAACTGTTGTCATATGAACTGAACTCATTTACTTCTGACTCATATTTTGCGTAGGTCAAGTTACCAGTTGGAATTTTGCTGCTGATTTACCCAGCCAATGGAGGAAATACTGGTGTTACCGCAGTTTTGGGATGAAAGTAAAGGCAAGGATTGAGTACAATTCCAACAAAGTACAAAGGTGACCCAGGAAATGGACATCATGGCTTTAAAATATACTCCACAGGGTTTATCTTTATCACCTTTTACAAATGAAGTGAACAGCAGCATTGAAAAGTCTTCTACAATGTTGCTACTTCAAGTTATGAGTCGCATTCAACGAAACCTAGTTGCTATTTTGCTTCCCTCATATGGCAAGTAAAAGCTAGGGATTCTGGAAAATTTTCAAGCTCCTGACAGCATAGTTAGTAAAATACGGTACGGGAAAGTTACGTAAAAGATACGTATGGGCATTATACTTTATCTTTAAGCTAAAATTACGTTTAATAGTACGTTAATAGTCATAAATATATAAAATTAATCATTTTAAAAATAAATAAATATATAAATAATAGTAAAGTTAACAATTTAATTCGTAAAATACGGATAATAAACGTGTTATACGGGTTTTATACGTGTTTAGTACGGGAACCATGAAATGAACGGAGGAAAATGAAACAGCTTGACAATAATACGGATACGGAAGTTTTAAACGGATAAAGTACGTACGGGTACATATACGTGTATTAAACGGAGTATTTACTAACTATGCCTGACAGCGACTGGTAGATCAAAGAGCAGTATCAGTGGGGAATAACAATCTTTGAACATCAGGAATCTAAGTCTATTAAAAACCTGGCTTTATCTTGGCTTTGCTTCCAAGCAACACCCTTCTTACCGGATAATCCACTTCCAACCCCAGTAGTGAACTCCAAGCGTCAAAATGATCTTTCCAAGTGCATTATATATACAAGAACATCAAAGGAAATACTCAGGATTGAACTTACAAGATCAAGACCAGCCCAAAACAATGAAATCTTCCCTTACCCTCTGCATTTCCTTGTGCACTCTGATCACGCTCTGCACATCAGAAGAGTCCAATCTTCAGGACACCTGCCCGACCGCTCCCACTGCAAAACAGGGGATCTTCATCAATGGGTACCCTTGCAAGAATCCTGCAAACGTCTCTGCTTCGGATTTCAAGTCCTCGAAGCTCGACCGCCCAGGCAACACGGACAACTTCCTTCGCTCCGCGCTGACCCTGGTCACGGCCTCGGACTTCCCTGGCCTGAACACACTTGGGTTAGCCGCAGCCAGGACCGACCTCGACGTGGACGGTCTGCAGATCCCCCACTCCCACCCGAGGGCATCGGAGATTGTGTTCGTCAGCAAGGGCGTCGTGCTGGTAGGGTTCGTGGACACGCAGAACCAGCTGTTCCAGAAGACGCTCAAGGCCGGAGATGTGTTTCTGTTCCCGCGGGCGCTGCTGCATTTCTGCTTGAACGCTGGGTACGACAAGGCGGTGATCTTCTCGGTTCTGAACAGTCAGAATCCTGGCGTGGTCAGGATTGCTGACGCCATGTTTCTTCAGGCTGAGGGAGACGTGATGGAGAAGCTTGTCAGCAGAATTAAATCATCCGCCGCCGCTTTGGAGATGAGTGGCGGCGTGATTACCTAGCCTGCCTGCCGGGCGACTCGAGGACCTCTCTCTCGATTGTATCGTGTATTCATTTCTTTTGGAAATTCGATTTGAATGTAAAAAAATGTGCATTGCAATTAATTTAACACATGTGACTTTTATTGAGAAGATCTATGATTAAGAGTACTATTAAGGTGAGGCAAAATGTCAAAATAGCCGTCTTTTTTATTTTTTTCCTTGTTGTTCACTACACCAAATGATCTCGCCTTTAAGCTTCGTTCTTAAACAGAACGCTGCAGATGATGGGGTAACTATGGGGATAAGATCAGGTGACTAAGGGGTACCCTTAGTCACTTGGCTAAGTAAATCTGAGCCTTCCATGCTCATTAAAATCCTAAGGCTACAATTAATTCATTTTAAGGAAGGACAACATAGTAATTGTACATTTTAATTTTGTAATTAAAAAAAAAAAGAAAAAGAGTGTTTCCCTCACTTGTTTGTCGCACGCGGAGATGGATCCACAGAGACGGCGGCGGCCATGGACGACGACGGCGGCTAGGGACGACGACGGCGAAGGACGACGGCGGCCAGGGACGACGGCGTTCTGTGTTCGGGGGAGAGAGAGAGAGAGGCGGAGGTAGAGGAGAAGAGAGAGAGAGGCGATGGCGACCGTAGAGGAGAGAGAGCGGCGGCGGTAGAGGAGAAGAGAGAGAGACGGCGGTGGCGGCGAGTAACAACAACGACGGCGGCGAGGAACGGCGGCGGCGGCGAGGAACAACGACGAGAGGGACGACGACCGTGGAGGAGAGAGAGGCAGCGGCGGTTGAGGAGGAGAGAGACACCGACATCGCCAATTTGTTGGCGGCGACGATTTCGTAATTTTATCATTCCAGTTTGTATACTTTATGTTATGATTTGTACTGTTAGTATGTTTTGTATTGTTTGTCATTTTTTGTGATATTTTGTACGTTTAGTATGCTTTGTACTGTTTGTCGGGTTATTTTGTAATGTTTGTACGCTTTGTTATTTTGTAATGTTTGTTGGTTTCTTTTGTATTGTTTGTAATCTTTGTATGACTATTTTGTATATATTGTAATTTGTAACTTTTGTTGCTCAAGTTTGTATACTTTTATGTTATGATTTGTATACTTTGTATTCATTTGTTTGTAATACAAGTTTACCAATCTGTATTGTAAGTAGTGATATTCTGTACGTGTAGTATGCTTTGTACTGTTTGTAATGTTTGTTTGTAATGTTTGTAATGTTTGTTTGCAATGTTTGTTATTTTGTAATGTTTGTAATGTTTGTTGGTTTCTTTTGTATTGTTTGTAATGTTTGTTATTTTTGTCCACATTTTTGTCAACCATGTTTGTAATGTTTTTGCATCATAAATCAATACATATAAAGTATACAAATTATTAGTACTTACAATACAAAGCGAAACATACTAAGAATACAAGCAAAACATACTAAGAATACAAACTGTCAAAGAAAAACATACTAAGAATACAAAGTGTCAAAGAAAAACATACTAAGAGTACAAACTGTCAAAGAAAAACATACAGAGAGTACAAACTGTCAAAGAAAAACATACAAACCATACTGACATTTTGTACAAAAATACTAACAATACAAACTAATGTTACAAAACATACAAACTATACAAATCACTGTTCTTCCTTCAGATGACGATACGATGTCTCTCCACGCCGCCGCCGCCGCCGCTGCAGCCGCCGACGTCGACTCTCTCTACAGCCGTCGTTACCTCTCTCTCTCCATCACCGCGCCGCTTCTATCTCCTCCATCGTCGTCGAAGCTCTCTCCGCCGCCTCTCTCTCCTCACCACCGTCTCTCTCTCCTCTGTTTTCCGACGAGTAGATCTACTTTCTCTCTCTCCAAGGCTGCCGCCTCTCTCTCCTCCAGCGTAGCGGCGCCGCCATCTCTCTCTCCATCGACATCGGCGTTCGATCTCTTTCCCCCTCCGCCATGGCTTTCTTTCTCTCTCTCTGGACATCGCAGCAAAAACGGACGGGCAGAGGAGGAGACGGTTGCAGAAGGCGTCGGCGCTTCTCTCCATCGTCGCCGTCGGCGCTTCTCTCACCGTCGCCGTTGACGCCGGCGCTTCTCTCACCGTCGCCGCATCTCTATCCTCTCTCTCTCTGTGAACGTGAAAAAAGGAGATGGTTGGAGAGAATTGGAGAGGGGAAAAGAAAAAAATAAATAAAATGGAAAACAGGATTTAATTATTTTTCTAAATGCCAAAACTACCCCTCTGATTAATTGCTAACCCTTCCTTCATCTGGACCATTAGATCTACCCATTCTAATCTAAGGGCTGAGGGGAGCTTAGCCACTTGACTAAGCACCCCCCCTTAGTCACCAGATCCGGACCCGGTCCCTTAGTCACTTGCCTAAGTCGATCTCAGCCCTTCAATCTCATTAAAATCCAATGGTTCTAATTAATTCAATTAAAGGAAGGGCATTGTAGTAATTTCATTATTATTTTATTTGTTAATTAAAAAAACAGTACAGACCTCCCTTCTTGCGCGATCTCCCCACCGGTTCTTGAGCGATCTCCCCGCCGGTCCATGGAATTTTGGCGGCGGCGTGGGTTTTTGGGTGGCCCTGGCGGTGGCTGGGGGGGGGGGGGTTTCCCCTCTGCTGGGGGGTTTTCCCCTCTGTTGGGTTTTTTTGTGGGTGGTTACGAGAGAGAGAGAGAGAGAGAGAGAGAGAGAGAGAGAGAGAGAGAGAGAGAGAGAGAGAGAGAGAGAGAGAGAGAGAGAGAGAGAGAGAGAGAGAGAGAGAGAGAGTCAACTTTCCGGCGACGGCGGAGCAGTTTTCCGGCGACCAGAGACGGTGGTGGATGATTTTCCGGCAACAGTATTGAGTTCGTGATGTTTGTAATGTTTATATTACTATTTTGTATACATTGTAATGTTTGTAATGTTTGTTTGTCATGTTTGTTATTTTGTAATGTTTGTATACTTTTATGTTATGATTTGTATACTTTGTATTCATTTGTTTGTTTGTAATGTTTGTAATGTTTGTTTGCAATGTTTGTAATGTTTGTATACTTTTATGTTATGATTTGTATACTTTGTATTCATTTGTTTGTAATACAAGTTTACCAATCTGTATTGTAAGTAGTGATATTCTGTACGTGTAGTATGCTTTGTACTGTTTGTAATGTTTGTTTGTAATGTTTGTAATGTTTGTTTGCAATGTTTGTAATGTTTGTTATTTTGTAATGTTTGTAATGTTTGTTGGTTTCTTTTGTATTGTTTGTAATGTTTGTTATTTTTGTCCACATGTTTGTCATTTTTGTCAACCATGTTTGTAATGTTTTTTGCATCACAAATCAATACATATAAAGTATACAAATTATTAGTACTTACAATACAAAGCGAAACATACTAAGAATACAAGCAAAACATACTAAGAATACAAACTGTCAAAGAAAAACATACTAAGAATACAAACTGTCAAAGAAAAACATACTAAGAGTACAAACTGTCAAAGAAAAACATACAAACCATACTGACATTTTGTACAAAAATACTAACAATACAAACTAATGTTACAAAACATACAAACTATACAAATCATTGTTCTTCCTTCTCTCTCCACTGTTGTCGCCGCCGTCGACTCTCTTTCCACCGCCGCCGCCGCTGACTCTTTCCACTGCCGTTCCATCTCTCTCTCTCCATCGCCGCACTGCCTGTCTTTCCTCCACCGTGCCGACGCGCTCTCTCCGTCGCCTCTCTCTCCTCCGTCATCGTCTCTCTCTCTCTCCTCTGTTTTCCGACGACGACGATTAGATCTTCTCTCTCTCTCTCTCTCCAAGCCTGCCGCCTCTGTCGCGATCTCCTTTTCCTCTCTCCACCGTCGTCGGCGCCGTCGAGATCTCCATCATCGCCGGCGTTGGCATCGCCTTTCTCTCCTCCAACGTAGCGCCGTCGCCTTTCTCTTTCTCTCTCTCCTCCTCCGCCACGACTTTCTCTCTCTGGACATTGAAAAAAAGGGAAAGGGAAGAGACGTAGGTTGCAGATAGGAAAAAGAATTCAATGATAATAAATAAAACAAAATCAAAAAATAGAAGCTAATAATTAATTGATAATGCCAAAACTACCCTTCTCATTTAATAATAATTAATTGATTTGTCTGGACCATCAGATCAATCCAAGGGCTGAGGGGGCCTTAGTCAAGTGACTAAGCACCCCCCCTTAGTCACCAGATCCGGACTCGTAACTATGGAGTTTGCCTTGATGAAGCAAAGTTCAAGTCCTCTCAGCAATGAGATGGAGAACGTCAGCAGCTTCATGGAAAGTTTATCTCATCTTTGCAATTGCTCGTTGAAACCCCATCTGACAAAGAACTTTGTGTTTGAGAAAGACAATTGAACCCAACCTCGTCGAACCTCCTCAAATCTGCAATCAGTCCAAACAATTCATAAAGGAAAATCACGATTACCTCAAACCAAAAAAGAAAAAGTCATACAAATTGAAACAATAGCGTCATGAAAGAAGTTTAAATATAAATAATCTATTCGACAACTACCTTATGCAAGTTCATCGACCGTATGGTATTGTAAATAACTAACCTATGAAAAGAATGATTAGGAATGAAATAAGATTACTTTTCACTTTTGGATCAACATTAAAACTATTACTCTTTTAAAATATTTATCTTTGTGATACGCGAAGCGATAGCGAGCAGACTTCTGCTAGTCTATTTAATTCCATACCTCTATTGAATAGAACCGCTATACAAGGTGAAGATTTTTATAAGGAGATGTATGTGTCATGAAGTAACCGAAATATAGATTGTATAGTCCGCTATTCCTTTCTAAAAAAATGGTAAACCAATTTAGTATAAAATTAAAACCACATCTATGCACCATGTCATTGTATTTTGTTTGATTTGTACGACAAACTACCATGAAATTTTGATAACCAATATAACAGATTTGAAGTACAGATATTCTCAACCATGAGAATTTTGCAGTCATGATATCTTTTTTCTAATGAATGACAGTCACTT